CTAATTTAGCAGGTTTTTTTTAAGTGCTGTATTTCCCTTGAGTATATCCCCAAATGCAGAGGAACTCAAAACAAAGCTCTTAAGTTTGAACAGCTACTTTTCATTGTCACTATTAGACTCTAATGATTTTGACTGAAGTATGAAATGGAGACAAATATAAACGATAACAAAGAAAGGTAAAGTGGGTCGTCATTGTCTTGAGCAATGAGAGGAAGCAATCCAAGGCTGGTGATTGAGAAACCATGCTATATATAGTCAATGCACCTTCCTTGTGAACAGGCAAGTAGGATAAAGAAGTTTGTAATGTTTTTAAAGACACTTGTGGATGACTGTTTTGGAGATTATGCAGAACAACCAGACAGTGCACAGCCACATCCTAACCATATTAATACAAATTCACAAGGCAAAATAGATTATATTTCTCCAAGTCGAAACCTGCTTAGCATCAGAATATATTAGTTAGATGACAGCATACTCTTTAAAAAAACACGTACCAGCAGGAACATCCTTGTTGCATGTATATAATCCATCCAGAATACATTTCCTTTTCTGCAATGGCCTTTAGATCAAAGGTGACCAAATGCAGCCTCCAGGCCTATCTGACTCTCAGGAATCTCCCCAAGGCCACACCCTTCACTGGCTCTGCGTCATACCCTGAGGGAGGAATTCAGCGTAGGGCTAAGGAGATCACACCATCAATGCAACCATTTCTCTGTTTGTCTTTCTCTGTTTGTCTCAAACAAAGTGGGTAAGTTCAAAGCAGTGTTCGAAACTCCCATTGTTCTAGGCATGTTTTGCGACAAGGAATTTCATTAGCTTAGCGTGAGCAGTGTCCCAGCCTAAAATTTCAGATTAAAACTGCAGAGTGGAAGGAAAGGAGGACCTTTTCCTGCCTTCCCACTTCCAGCCACTCTCTGAAAACTGGAGAAGAGACCCTCTTAAGAATATTAGGGGGGCAGGCAGGGGAAACATGGCTTTGGTTTCTTTGTAGGATTCTTGATTATGCAGACCTTCCTGCACAATGCAAGAAAGTTGGGGTGTGTGTGTGAAGAACATGGGAGCCAATGTATGTGAGTATATTGGGGGGCGGGCAGAGTCAGCATGTGTACCTCCAATGTCCCCTACTTGTGTTTGCACCCCCGTTTAGGCATAATGCCCAAATCAGGATAGAAAGTGAGGGGTTTTTTTTTTGCAGATGGTTCCTTCAACCACACAATAAAAATATGCAGAAAACATTGTAAACGTGAGAACAAAATAAGATTAAATATTAAACTAATATTCACATGAATCATTTATAACGGCTGCATTTTGGGGACACACATGTTCCTCAGCAAGTCATTGCCACTTGAATTTAAATGTTCCAAGGTGCAAGTAAAGTAACTTCAAAGAGTTATAGGAGAATGAAGGAGAAACGACTAGCTGAACATAAGTGATTATATTACAGCCATGTCTAAGGCAATCATAAAAATAGAGAAGAGAGTCATCTCACTGGATATTGGTCATGCACCAAATGACTTCTGACAGGAGTATAAAATACTCACTCTTTAGAGCTGCAGTATATTGATTAAGAAATATTCACTCTTAGAAATGATGGAAATTTCTCCTGTTAAAATGAGCTATACAAAACAGAGAGTTCCTAAAAGTATAATCTATCTGAAATTCATATTTTGGCCTTTAGACAGCCAATGGGAAATAATTATGAATTGATAGCACTAAAATTCTATAAGTATATCAAACAGGCGAGACATATTGCACTTTTGAGAACCCCTTCATCTGTTAGATTTAGGCTACATTTAATCCATCATGTAAATAGCAGGAAGATTTCAAACCTTCTGCTTTACACAAAGTTTTACAGTGGTGCCCCGCAAGACAAATGCCTCGCAAGATGAAAAACTCGCTAGACGAAAGGGTTTTTTGTTTTTTGAGCTGCTTCGCAAGACGATTTTCCCTATGGGCTTGCTTCACAAGACGGAAACATCTTGCAAGTTTGTTTCCTTTTTCTTAACACCGTTAATACAGTTGCGACTTGACTTCGAGGAGCAACTCATAGAACGCGGTGTGGTAGCCTTGTCTGAGGTTTTTAAAGACTTTGGTGATTTTTGAAGCTTTTCCAAAACTTTCCCGACAGCGTGCTTCGCAAGACGAAAAAAATCGCAAGACGACAAAACTCGCGGAATGAATTAATTTCGTCTTGCGAGGCACCACTGTACTTTACTTCCGTGAATTGTCTCAATTGGTTACAAAGTGGGTAAGTTGATAGCATTATGTCATTATTCTGTACTTGAAATTTCTGAGCAAATTGGGGGGGAAATAGCTTTTGGAACAAGATGACTTCACTCCACACAGATTTCTACATGCAATGATGACATGCTACACAAACATATTTTCATACTTTTAATGTCAAGGAAATGGCCACTTTCAAAGGGCTATCCTTCTTTAAGTCCCTCACCCTTCCAAACAGATGGCTGTCGATGTCAAAGGTAATGGCATTTTGAGAACCTATTTGGCAGTGTGTATTTCATTTCATTTGTATTTTAGCTTTGTGGTGTTATGGGTTTTTAAAAACTCTGTAAATGCTAAAAAAAATTGTTATAAATATTAAGCAGTCTATAACTTGATTAAATTAATTTATTGAACAGATGGTATGATAGAATTAACACTTATTTATCTAAAAGATTTATAGATGCCACTCTTCACTTTGAAAAGTATCAAAGTGGTTCACAACACCAATAATATAAATAGCACAATAAAACCACTATTAAATAAAACTAAGTCAAATGCACACAGCACAATGCAGCAGGCAGGAAAATATTTAAGTCAGTAGGTATTAAAGGCTAGCAAATACTTGGGAACTTGGGCTATTAAGAATAGGTGTCCAAGCCCCATTCTTGGGCTGTAAATGTGATGAAAACTTTCTCTAGGCTCTTGGATCATCTGGAGAAATTATGAGGATAGCCTTTCAGGGGCAAGGACTTATATTAGCAGTCAGAAGTTTTGCTTTTCTCTTCTAAACCTTTTTCCTTACCTGTTTCTGCCACTGCTTTTCTTGGTCTCTCTGCATGTGTTTATTTTAGAGGACTTCTATAATTGACGTGTAACTAGATTGCTGCTGTTCTGGATGGTTCTGGGATTTCTGAAATTCTGGGATTTTGTTTCACATGCTGCAGGGCTGACTAAGGTTCAAATAAATCTGCTCTGCATAGGAGCCAAAGCATCTTTCTCTACTTCTAAAAGGCCATATGGTCCAGGGTTAGGTGTCCCATCTGCATTTATAGCATTATTATACTACCTTAGCAGGCATAACTTTGCTCAATGAAACATAGTTTGTTAAGGGTGCTAGGAGTTGCTAGCAGATCCCCAGAGTTGCTACAGTTCCCAGGATTCTTGAGGGAAGCCATGGATATTAAAGTGGTATAAGAGTGCTCTAAAGGATGTGACCAAGGTTGTCTTTGGGAAAGCTTAATTAGCCAAAAGCAAGCTACCCTCCAGTAATGGTTTCTGGAGGTCAGAAACAGTCAATCATTTCTGTGGTTTTATGTCCAACTTGAATATAAAAGTGTCAGGCCCCCATGAACTATTTCTGAAGCAAGTATGTAATTTGATAAGTATTTTACAAGTATTTCATGGACAGGAATAAAATTAAAATTTGGTATAGATTTATGCTTCTTTTTGCATGAGAAATGGAAATCATATATTTCTTTAATGTACACCTAAGCAAATAGTGGTGATTTTTTTTTGTTTTTTGTTGCACCGTTAGTGGTTTGTGACCACTTTTGTGAATATATGCCATTAAATATCAGTTACTTAAACAGACTATACTTAATAAGGATTGGGCCTTATTTATAGCACATTGGCATGCAAATGTACATTACCAGGCATCATAAGTGGCCTAGATATTAGCTGAAGTGCTCTTTAAAACAAAATTGCAGTACTAGGAAATTTTATCATACAGACTTGGCAGAAAGGACAAGTATATAATACAGTAATAATGATGATCTGGACTGCTTTGAAAATCTATGGAGCAGTTCAGAAAATTCTACCTTAATGTAATGTCACAGTATTTTAGAATTAAAATGTACATTAGGCTGAAAATGCAAAATTATGGCTGTGCTGTAATCACTGCCAACACTTACACAGTGAACTTTCAGACTGAAGATGCTAATTTCTAGAGCAGTATTCTATTTGACTGATTGTATAGTTTTGACATGCACCAGTTTCTACTGAAACCCAGCTGGGAATTTGCAGAATTAAACTCCTTTGTTCGTTAAACTGAATGACTAATCAGAAACGTTAATGAGCAGGGGAAAGATAAACCATCCCATGGGCTGGGAAGAAGTGAAAGACTGTGGCTCCATACTATCTGTGGCATCACTCTTAAATCCCACCAACTTCCCCCCTAGTTTCCATAAAGCCATTGGTTCAGCACTCTAGTTACCATGTCCAACTGTAACTAAGCCTGTAACTAAGCCTAAACATGTGGATTTGAAGTAATATCATATTCTATCATTGCTTGCCCCTACTTCTACTCTCATATAAACATAGGATTGTAGAGTTGGAAGGGACCCAAAGAATCATCTAGTCTGACTCCCTGCAATGCAGGAATCTCAATTAGATCATACATGACAGATGGCCACCCAACCTCTGCTTAAAAACCTCCAAGGAAGGAGAGTCCACCACCTCTTGTGGGAGTCTGCTCCACTGTTGTACAGCTATTATTGTCAGAAAGTTCTTCCTGATTTTTAGTTGGAATCTCCTTTCTTATCTCTCCTTCCTCTGATGTTTCTCCTGGGTTGAATTCTAACTTGGAAATTTCTCATGGCAGAGACCTGGCCTTTGTGAAATGCTCTGTAAAGTCCAGTGAATGCTAATACTACAGCAACATGATATTAGTATGATGGTATGTTTGATGTTTTACTATGTTTTTATGTGTGTTGCAAGCTACTCAGAGTGACTGGGGAAACCCAGCCAGATAGGTGGGGTATGATGATGATGATGATGATGATGATGAAAGGTCATTGCTCAGTGGTAGAGCATCTGCTATGTATACAGAAGGTCCAGGTTCAATCCGTGGCATCTTCAGGTAGGACTGGCAGAACTCCTGCCTGAAACCCTGGCAAGTCACTGCCAATCAGTGCAGACAACACTGCGCCAGATACACCCTTGGTCTGATGGCTTCCTATGTTTCTCTATCCAGTTAAGTCATGCTTAGAGTACACTCATCAAAATCAACTGAGTTCATTGGGTCAACTGACTGAAACTCAACAACTGCACATTCACTATTGTTACACAATAGTGTAACACCCTGGAAGCACATGAAATGTAAATGACATACCCACATCACCTTTGGAAAACATTAAACAACCCTTCTCATGCATACATGACCATGAGAATGTGGTAGTCCCTGAAGGCCAAACCCATTCCCACATAGTTGGACTTCCATTGTCTCACCAGTAAGATATGTGTGGTCACCTAGAATGTGTGAATACTGCCTTTGCCATAAATGAGTTTTTACCTGGAACCACATTGGAACTGGCCATGCAGTCTGAGGGACCCATGAATTTGTCACTTGCATACACGGAGCGTGTGAAAGAGGTTTGAATATATACTTTTGGCAGCAGTCACAGCACCAAGTTAATACATGAACTGAGCTGAGACCAATGCACACCGGCATTTTGGAAATTGATATATTGTGATTCCCTTGTGACATTACTTCTGCTTGTGGCAATGCAATCTTTGATGTGATTTACCATAAGCACATCTATTGCTGATGAGCCTATGTTAAGCTAAGCTGGAAAAATACTTAGCGTTTTTACTCAAATGATTGTTTCACCATGAACAAAACAGTATGCCAAAATGGTAAAACAACAGGTCCTGAAGAAGCTTTCACCCCCCCCTTCTACAAATAGAGGACACTCAACAGTTGCTCTGAGTGGAGTGCTAAAATCACAAGGCAACATGAGATAAATAAGGCTATATATCTCTGAGGAATAGATGCTTACATACACACACACAAAGACAGAGAGAGGTTTAAATACTGCAATTCAAAATGAAAGGTGAGTGGGTGTTTAATCATTGAAAACAAATCCACATACCATTCTACCTATTTTATGATGGTCTATCAGTTTTTCAGTAGGACAAATGAAATCTCCATTGCAAAGCAACGACTGGCTGTCTTTGGAGGGGAAAGTCATTTCCGAAATTGAACTATAAAATGAATGAGCCATAGGAGTAAAATGTGATAGGATGCATGCTAACAAAATCTGCTTTCTGGTACAAAGTTGAAGGCCAAGCTGAGCCCCACCAAGTGCACTGTTGGTTTGTCTCAAGTTGCCTCAGAGAGACCTGGGTTCAAATATCTGCTCAAGCAAGAATCTTACTGAGTGACTTTGGATTAGTCACCACCTCTCAGCCTAACATACTTTATAGGTTTGTTCAGACCAACACTGCTTTGAGGAATTTGGAGGATGTGGTAAATGTGCAACAAGCAAATGTCTTGCAGTTGTGGAAGCTAAGCACAATCCTTTACATATCAGGGATGGAGAACCTTGCTGGACTTCAATTCCCAATAGCCCAGCCAATGCACAAGGTGATGTGAGCTGGGGGTGGTGTAGTGGTTAAGAGCGGTAGTCTTGTAATCTGGGGAACCGGGTTCGCGTCTCCACTCCTCCACATGCAGCTGCAGGGTGACCTTGGGCTAGTCACACTTCTTTGAAGTCTCTCAGTCCCACTCACCTCAAAGAGTGTTTATTGTGGGGGAGGAAGGGAAAGGAGAATGTTAGCCGCTTTGAGGCTCCTTCGGGTAGTGATAAAGCGGGATATCAAATTCAAACTCTTCTTCTTCTAACTCCTGCTTTATTTGTTGGGTGTGATGCACCTCAAGCTGTGAGTCTGCAGATTCCGAGTGATTAATTTGGTTGTCTTCAGTTGGCTATCCAATATCTGGCATTTCTGCTTTGGGGGCATAGTTCATTAAATGTCATTTTGCAAAACAGATCCGTATCTACCCTCCCTTGGTTTATTTATCCAACACCCCCACAGTCCAGTCTTTTGTTCTCTCTTGTATATACTTTTTATTAAATTTACTCATTTTACACCCTTAAGATATCAATGACTTCCCTTCTTCTCTTTCCATGGTTCATTTTACATATCATAAATCCCTGCATATTTTACAAAACCTATACCATTCAGTATTCCATTATTGCATCCATCAAAACTTGTTTACACTGTTGAATTAATCTTAATGCTGCCAGCGTTTTCAGCTGCACATAATTGTTTCTCATATATTCAAAAAATGTTTTCCACTCTTCTATAAACGTATGTTCTTCTTGTTCTCTTATTCTATATGTTAATTCTGCAAGTTGTGCATATTCTGTCAAATTAAGTTGCCATTCTTCTTTAGGTGGGACCTCACTTGTTTTCCATTTTTGGGCTAACGAAACACGGGCTGCAATAGTGGCATACATAAACAACCTTTTTTGACACCCAGGAATTTGAGTCTGAACTATCCCCAACAGAAAGGACTCTGGGTTTTTTGGGGGGGGGAGGGGAGTACTTTTAAACATGTTTTCCAATTTATTATGGATCATTTCCCAGGTTTTTTTTGTTCTCTTGCCCATGAAAACTCATGGCACCATATATTTGAAGTCTTTAAGCTGCCTCAGGCTCTTTGTTTTTTGAAACAGCTTAGACTTCTAGTTCTTAGTGCAGGAAAAGAGGACCATTTTCTTAACAAAGAAATGTCAATACTGACTAATGCAGACTTCAATGATGAGTTGAACGGATGCAAGAATGGTCTGTGTCTTGTGTACAATAGGAAAGTCAGGAGTGGAGAACTTTTGGCCTTCTAAATGCTGCTGGATCACAGCTCCCATCCATTTCAGCCAGCATGGTCCATAATGAGGGATAACAGGAGTTAGAGTACCAAAGCATTTGGAGGGCTGGAGGTTCCCCATCCCTGTAGTAGACCACAGATTCTCTATTGAAATGAAGTTATGCCCAGTTGTCTGTATTTTTTTTCTGAGAGCCTTAGAGATCCCCCCCCCCCCATTGTCACAGGAGAGGAAGAATCTTGAGTAGGCAATGTGGTGGGTTAAAAGCCTTTGAGTTCACCTCTGAAGCTTTAACAATACATACTAAGGAAAGGTATAATAAATAATGTTCTGAATGTGACTTTCAGATTGTAAGACTGATCATCATAAAGCGGAACGTGATGGTGAGATTTTATTCCCAGGTGGCTGATCGCTTTCATATTTCAGAGTCTCCATGTCCTTGTGCATTTGATTAGGGTGTCTGTTTGTGCTGATCAGAGGTAAGTGAGGTATGTACACTGATATCCAGAGGGATTAGGGGAAGTGACAGCTGCAGGTAAGAGGAATGGCTTCAAAAAAGAAGATAGGAGAAGCTAGAGTATAACTCTGTTTCCATCTGCATGTGTGGGCAAGGTTGAATGAGAGGTTGAGGAAGGTGCTGGATGTGATAAAATTTCACTGTGCTATAATGCTGTCTTTTTCCTTTTCTTCTGGATCAGCTCAATAAGAGACAACATGAAAGAAAAATGACACTGGTTTTTAAGCTCACACTTTGTTTTAAAATGGTAGGTTCTTTCTTTCTTTCTTTCTTTCTTTCTTTCTTTCTTTCTTTCTTTCTTTCTTTCTTTTCCCTGAAACAGTCCATTTAGCATTTAGAATGATAGAATGGGATAACACTATTATGGAAATCATCACCATTCCATAAAGAGCATGGCAATGAAGTTATTTGATACTATTAACATTGGTACACCACCCTAATGGCACCAATTGATTTTATATGCTGTGAAATATATTAGCAGATTGTTTATGTGCCGCTACGTAACATGGGGGAGGGGAGGGGGAGGAAGTTAATATCTTACGTGGCATCACCAGCCTTTCCCCAAAACCTGAAAACCCTATGGCAGATGAAAGTAATGGACTATATGGAACTGGCGGAGATGACTGGCAGAATCCGAGACCAAGGTGAAGAGTTGGTGGAAGAAGATTGGAAAAAATTTAAAATTTATTTACAGAAACATTGCAAGATCCAGGAATGCTAGAAGGATGTTGGAATGAAGCAATGTGGTTTTAGCAGAAATGATATAAAAGATTAGGTAAAAATTGATTTTTTAAGCGGTGAAACAAGAATGTAAAATTATAGTACACTAAGATAATTTATTAGGATAAAATCCAAGCAGAAAGGATTTGCTGAAATATTTAACTGAACTAGAATACAAAAAAGGGAGGTGTGAGGAGGTCAGGGAAACAAGTAAATGAAAGATAAGACATGGAAAGATGGAAATGTTTTTAATTGTTTATATTTTCTTGTATTTTGTATTTTCTGCTCTCTTTTTTTTCTCTTTTCTTTTTCCTTTTCTTTTTCTCTTTTTTGTAACTTCTTTGAAACTCTAATAAATATTATTTAAAAAAAGAAAAAAAAGAAAAGAAACTCCTGACTTAATCCTTTTTCATAACATTGAAAATAAGCCTTGGCTTTCACTAATTGGACCATTCTATTGTTGTTGGGAAAGACTGAGGGCACAAGGAGAAGGGAACGACAGAGAATGAGATGGTTGGACAGTGATCTCAAAACTACCAACATGAATTTGACGAAACTGCGGGAGGCAGTAGAAGACAGGAGTGCCTGGCATGCTCTGGTCCATGGGGTCACGAAGAGTTGGACATGACTAAACGACTAAACAACAACAGATTGTTGTTTTAAACCTTTCACCTCTGAAGCTCGCAGTGCTCTACCCACATTGCCTTTCAGCTACCACTCAAAGTGGCAGTTCAAGAAGCTGTTACTTTTGCAATCTAGATGGGATTACCATTAAGGATGCTGGCAGGTTGGTCCAAAGGGTTCGAAGGCTGGATATGGCCTGTGGATTGCTGGTTCCCTGCTCCTGATTTAAAATATTTAAAAGGTACATATTTAGCATTATGACACTTCTAGATTACCCCCCAAGTCCCTTCCAACTCTTCAATTCTATTATTTCATCTGATTTTCTAAGGAACTACCCAAGAGGTCTTGCATCCACACATGGGAGCCAGTGTGGTGTAGTGGTTAAGAGC